GTGTAGAGGCATGCATAGCCTTAGCTTTGTTGTAAGCACGGTTCGCAAATAATAATAACATAATCTATGAACCAAAAACCGACATATTTATAAATGAACGTACATGTACTGTGCAATGGAGTAAACACACAGGCATATTTGTCGTGTATATGTTTGTCTTTGTCAAACTTGTTAAAAATAATGCTATTTGAAGATAGGTGCCTGACGGCATGCACTTCGGAGCAACTCCTTCACGGTGAGGGCACCCATGAAACCATCACGCACATAGAGCTCTCGTGGATATTCCTCCAAGATGTAGTGTATCAATGCAAAAATCAGCGTGTTGTGTAATGCCTTGCAAATGCGTACCGTTCGGTTTGAACAGTTTACAGAGCGCAAATAGATTGTAAAAGGTCCATTCTTCACGCTGGATGTCAAGCCTAGACTGGCAAAACTCTAGGAGCAATTCCTTTAAGGCTTTAACAACGGTCAAAAATCCCGTAATCGTCGATCAATCAAAAACAGACGTTAACTTTTAGACACTCTTCTCACGCTTATCCGGCAACCAAAATGGCCGAACGTACCGACAATTAAAAGGCCAATTTTGTGTTTTTCAATAAGCCGTATTCTATAAATATTCATTACCACAGTGCCTCTCAAAAAGGATTTAATTAAGGAGATCCTTTCAGCTCATTAATATTCATAATACTTTTTACCACAAGAGGGCGCACTTAAATGGCGCAAATCTTGCGCAAGCGCACAACCGCTTTTCCGTACCGAAACAGCGGTGACAGATACAACCATTCCAAGCATGTGTTACTGTGACATGGTTGGAAACGCCACCCTGGTGAAGGTCATATGAGATTTCAGTACACAGGAATCAACATGTTAGTGACATTTCGTGCAGCTGTGTCTACGGTGTTGTGCGTGGCGTTGGTCAATTCTGTCAGAGACGCCTGCAAAGTGTGCAAGTGTAGTAGCCACGGTCCACTCATAGTCAACTGCACCAGGAAAGGTCTCACGGAACTACCATCCAGGATACCAAATGAGACAAGAGTACTGTAAGTGTTGTACATCTTACAAATTAAAAGGTGGGGAAAGGGTGTGGGGTTAAGTCAACGCGTATTGTACCTCACTGCTCGGGCGTATATTTATACAGTTGTAAAGAGATGGATGCGAGCTGCAAAAGTAATCTTCGGTTGCAGGTCCCCATTGTTGTTAAGTTTTCTAAAATTAAAATTCTTGCCTTGTCAACTGGTGACAATATGACTTTTTTTCTAGTTACGCTCCTGGACCATGTTCCATAAATGTAGATAATGTTCCAGGTAGGTCATTGTATCGACTTCAAACGTGCACAATGTCTTTTTCTGATCATACTTGCCAGCTTGGTGTTTTCAGTCATACTTTATCTAAGATAACGGAGGGGTCAGTGGGGGTCTTTCGCTGGAAATAACTGTGTTTGTCGTGGTCGTCTCATTTGTTTCAACCACACGTTCCATTAGTCAGACGTAATGCATGATCAGATGAGATTTGAATTGGGGAGGAACATCAAAGTTGGCCTTTGCCCCCTTCCTATTCTAAAGGGGCCATTTCTAAAAAAAAAAGGTTTCAGCTTCACTTAGTCAGGTACAACTGCAATGAGAGCAGTGGCTTAAATTTGTGTTAAATGTGCGAAGGGTGGGTGGGTGGGTAGGATGGGGATGACCATTGGAAGGATGGGCTAGTAACCAAATCCCTCAACACTCAATAAATTGAGTTCTGTAGGATCCGTGCCATTTTCCGAGGCTATGAAATTTCCTGCCAATATCGTATCTTGTTTATTATCCTCCCATGCAAACACAAGTAGTGGAAAAACAACTGGATAAAACCTCACTTTAAAATTAATATTGATTTCAGAGATATACTAAATGGAGAAATGGGCAGACAATTTGGCAAGATTGCCATGCTAACTTGAAGATGATTTTTCAGAATTTTCAACAGTCCAAATTACTTTCTGCAGTTTCAATTAGTATCGGTTTCAGGAGCCAACTTATACATACCTTCATTTCATGCTAAAAAATAAAAATGGAAAATGTATCAGACATAAATCAGTTAATCTCAGTTTAATAAGCATGTTTAAAAACATGTTTGTTTAATGTAGCACAAAAAACTTGGGAGAGGTTGGTGATTGTATATCATTGCTGATCATAGTAGTATGATCATCCCCTTGGGATCCACGCCACTGTTTTCTGTTCTTTTCTTTATATACATCATTTTAATAATCAACCCTATAACAACAATAATATGTGTATTTATTCTGATAATATACACAAACAAATTGACAAATTCCAAGAGTAATAGGCCGAGAAAGGAAACATGACCTTAAAGGTCAGTCCCTACCACATAACTCAGAGTTGTAAAAAAGCAAACGCACTTTCTTTATATATTAAGAAGATGACACCGGAAATGTGGGTAGCAGTATCCTGGCGGATGAAGTACGGTACTTGTATCGCTTTCGAAGCTGCTCCTGGGCTGTGGAATAACAGTAAGAGGAGGGAAGAATAAGATGAGTAATTTCAACGGCGAAAGAAGTATTGCGCTAACGTTACTGCTCTTGGGTTGCTGGTATATAGAGAAAAAGTTAGTCGCTCACATTACATAGACCTGGATGCTGAACGCATTTTGTTTTCGGTTCAGTCCTCATGATTGCAACAGTGAAAACAGCATGGACTACATTATCGTATGGTCTATGTTGTTTCCGTCTGGTTGAATGTAACTTTAACTTTGCGTCATTTCTTTTCATTATAAGTACACCATTGCGATATGTGATGAATTCACTTAATAATAAAGCTTACAAGGTGTGAATATTAAACATTTGAAGTACAGATTACGCTAAAACCCATAAACAAAGACATAAGCAATGTGCCAGAAGATGGTAGACAAATTACTACTTCGTTGGCTTAAAGAGAAACAAAAATAAAACCAAAACCGACTGGTTTCTCGGTTTTCTTCGTTTTGGAAAGGACTGCTTTAGCGTGCTCCTTTTATTACTTTGATTATGATTTCTGTAAACTAAACAAGACACCTGGTCATGTGTTTTTTTTTTTACAGAATTCTCGATGGGAATTTCATCAGGTTCATTCCCTACCGAGGTCTTTTGGGATTGAAGTCTCTGGTTGTACTGTAAGTTCGTAAGCTAAAGTTTAAACGTGTTGTTTACGTTGGTTTGTTGCAGTGTGTGACTTACCGTTAATGTCTAACAAAATACACTTTTGTTTAGGTTTGTCCAACCCTTTGACTTGGCAGTTTCCGTTGTTTGCTTTTCAAGGGATATCCTTTGTCACCTCTATTAGGGAGTGTGCAATAGCAGATATCACATTCCGGGATCTAAATTCGACACAATTCGCACTAACTTTGATATCATGTAGTAATATTAAAAGGCACGATGCATCTTAAAGTGTCCAGTTGGGAAACTGAACCTTTACGGAGAAAAAAAATTGTTGTAGATTCACCAAGAAATTAGATTATTACTTTAACAACTAGCTGCTGTTAAATGTAGACAGTTTGGCGTTTATTCTCGCATCCGTAGCAGCCTTCTTGTGTTCGAGTGATCACGAAAACATGATTCAATCCTGGGCACACGCATGACAAGTTGTCCAGGATGAAAAGTTTATCCGTTTCTACATGGTCACAAGCTATGCATAATTGCCATGAAGTGAATTACGTAAAGGTGGTATACTGCGGCCATCTTTCCTGTGACCCCTTACGGATGCGTAGCACAGGCCTATTCATAAGTATCCCTGTGGAACAAAAGCTCTTGCCTGCAAATGACTGCCATAGACAACCCGTATTGGGAATATGCATTGTGCAACTTCCTATACTCATCTTTTGATGTTAGAAAAATGTCTAAGTATCTAATCTTTCCGATTATTGAGAAATTCCATTATTGAGAAGTTCACTTTGTAATAGATTAAAATTCGTCCTGCTTTCCCTGCAATAATTTGAAGGTGCTGTAAATGATATTTAAGTGTCATCATTTTGGGAAACAAACTGGCGGGTGTATGCACCAGTACACACGGACAGTTGGTATTCCTAGATACTCAAAACGATTTTTTTTTTGTTTTCGCAGCCAACTTACGAACAACAGCATCAAAGCCCCCTTTGAAATCCCGAAGTCTGTCGTGAAACTGTAAGTGAATGTATGAGAACCCAGTTTGGCATATATTATTCCAGACGGGCCGCAAAGTACAAAGGCAGTACCAATAAGGTCGTAACCGTTTAGTTTAATGTCCAGTCTTGCATGTAATTAAAACTGCGCGTGCCTTTCTGACTGAAAGGCTGAGTCGATTGGGAATAATTTTCTACAGGAATGTATGTACTTCATATGACACCACATTGCTCTTCAACAAGCATTTTCAGTGGTCCTTTTTGAAGATGAAAAGAGAAAAAAGCCAGTGAATTTATGTCAGTTAGCGAAGAAATGAAATTCGTTTTCAGATCCGCTAACTGGAATGGCTTGCAAGATATACGGCCAATAATGCGAAACGGAGTCAACCTTGACTTTGCGTAAGTTAACTTTGCCATTAGGCCTACATAGTATTAGTATAGAAAGTAAATCCTCGCTGGAAGCTTTATATTGTAGATATATCTATGTAGTAGAGTAGAGATGTCAGGTCCAGATCTGCTTAAAACGTTGTAAGACAGGAGGGTACTTTTTTTACTTTCCCTTCCTTCACCAAATAAGGAAATTGACAAAGTTCTTATGAAATTTCGAAATCGAGCAAACGTTGAACATTGAATATTTAGATGAACTGCCCAACAATAGTGATAGTTTGAGTCATGAACAACCACTGTACCCACTGCCGAAATTCACCCTTAAGGTTCTTACTTACGAGTGGCATTTCTTTCAATGTGCTTATTAATTTAGACTATATATTGGCTGTCTTTTAAGAATTCTTAGCTGTTTCTTCAGGACATGGTGAATTAGCTCCAGTTATGTTTTCACTGAAAGCCATGTTTTGTAACCTGCATTGAGGTAAATATTCGACTGTATTTGTATTACGAATAGGGATTTCAGCAACAATGCTCTGAAAGTCATCCAGACCGACACTTTCAAGAATTGCACCAAGATGCTGACCTTGTAAGTGGGGACTTAATTTACCTGATTTTCTTCGAACGTTTGACAAAGGCGTTTTATATAAATGTACAAAGCACGGAATAGTAGAATGAGCGAGTATAGCACAACACCGAAAAGAGGTGTTACATGTAATTCCATGTTTTGATTAAAAATAGGACAAAAGTGTAGCCTCATATTTCTAAACGCTAATTGAACGCAAATCTCTAACACTTTTTAAACATTTTGAGACGTTTATAAATAAACACATACGACATGCTTATATGCTGAACGCTATTAAACGCAACGTATGTTTATGATTAAGAATATGGACGTGTTTAGCACATTACCCTTGAACGCCTAAACATGTTTAGAGGCTGTAACTTTGTTTACACACTTTGACATATTTATAGAGGGTGCGGGTTTATCAACTGCCGTTTATTGGGTAACAATGATATTCACGTGTTCAAGTCATACACATTGACAAGGAGTGGCAAGCTAACTGTCGCATCTCAGCACGGGAGCAAAAATGGTTGAAATACAGTTGACATACCTTTCTTTCAGAAAATTATCATACAAATGAATGTGCAAATGCACGTTCGTGTACATACAGCGCATATGCATGCGCCTATAGTCTTGTCTTAATCGTAAACGCTGGGCGGTACAACTGAACATATTATCTAAACACGGTGTTGAATTTTGGTGTGATCATCGAGTGATACTCCACTCTGCAGCCATATATTATACGCTTGTCAGCTTAAATTAATCACTTACAACGTTAGATTTGAATTTCATCGGCACAAAAGAGTATTGGCGGAAAAATAATGGAAGTCATGTTTTAAGCCACTATAAACATGCGTTTAATGTCCCAATGATAAACACTCTATATGTTAAACACCTTCCCGTCTAAACGCACCGCGTTCAAATGTTTGATGCGTTTGTTTATAAATGGGTCAAAAGTTCTTTGTTTTACAGTGTACTTGTAGGCCTTAACATTATTTCTACGGTCTTTCATTGCTAGAAGCTTGGGCTTAAACAATATCTCAACTGTACAGCATGCCGGGCTGTCTGGACCAAAGTACCTAAACAATGTGTAAGTTTTTCTAAGAGAATAATACAAACATGCTTTCCTTTTATAAGTTGTCAGTCGTCCCAATTTCTTGAAAGTTGATACGTGCACGACGAGACTAGAGGGGCCTGGTTGTGGAGCACTAACTTTAATGCTGTAATTAATTGTTTTCAGCTTTGCTTCCGACTCTGTCTCTAGATAGGAAACATTATTTCCCGTATTCTAATTATTTTATGAGTTAAATTGTAACGCAAAATCTGTTGCTGCATTTTGGCTGGGTGAAATTTCAGCTTTAATTATGCCTCTGAGAAAATCGTGTCTTCTAGCTATTTCTTCACGCCGTGAAGAATTCATTCTTGTTTTATAAAAGTTTTATATCGAATGCTGAAGCGAGCGCAGATTATTATTAAAAACAATGTAGCCATTGGGGTTCCTCAAGTATGCATTCAAGTTATCCGGTTCAAGGGCGAAAAAGTGGTTATATGTGGTTGTACCCGGCCCGACGAAATAGGAACAAGTTGACATGTGTTAAGGTCTAAAGATAGTCGAATGACATGCTCGTTCTAACTGACAGTTAATGAACATGTACGCAGTATATTTCTTCTTTTTCCGAAGGCGACTACAGGGTAATAACTTGGAAGATATTGGACCTAGTGCCACAGCGGGGTTGCATTGCCGCTCACTGTAAGTTATATAAACATCCCTTAAAAGACAATTTCGCCCACTTTTTACCAACATTGAATTTCAGATTAAACAATGGAAACGAAGTAACCCTTTCCAATCAAACTTTCTAACTTTATCTTAACCTTTTCTCGGATCCCTGCAAGGAAACTATGTAAAACAACAAATTGGCAAAGGCTACGGAAATACTGAGGTAGTTGGTGGGACATTAAATACACTGTAGGCCTACAGTAGTCCTTTGTATAAAACTGTCAACTAGAAGTAAATGTAAGTAGGTGAACACACGTACACGCTGGAATGAGCTTTGTATGAGAGCCTGCCCGATTGGATACAATTTGATTTTATTTTGTTCACATCATCTGATTGGCTGCAAAATGTATACCTGCATATTCATGACTGCTCTCACAGAAGAAATCGAAAATGTTTCGAAGTGCTTCACGGTATGAAACAGTTCCATGTCAGGGGATGTTACCTCATGGAGTCCTCCTCTTTCATATCCTAGCTCTGAAATATTATTTTGGGCAGTAAAATAAACATCCACGTACACGCTGGCAATGTGTACACTGTCCTAATGTTCAGTTGCTGTGTTATCGATGGGGCCAAATTCTTAGAAAGTGGAGGGCTTTTCCGTCAACTACACTGTAAAAACAACGTTTAGAGTTTGAACACTTTTGTACCCACTTTTTTAACACGTTCAACCCATGACATGCTTATTAAAATGCGTTTACGAATGTGTTTAGACGCTTTTCCGTGCTTCATGTTTAGCTTTTTGAAATCTGCATAGCATTTTAACACATCCCTAAACGCAAAACACTAAACATGTTGCGGTTAAACAAGTCAAAAAGGGGGCCATAAGCGAGTTTTTGACGGGGGATTAAAAGCCTTTGGCTTCTCCAGACCCCTATGCTGTCATTTTTTATGTTTCCATTGTCAAATAAGTTTATCCAACTGTAATATAACACTTTTTTCTCAACTTTAGTTGCTTGTTAATTTCTATTCACAATATGTGTCAATGTAAATTTACATTATTTATTACATTGTTCATGATATGTCAACTATTGTCCATGTCAGCATGAATAAATAAACAAATTTATTTGATACTTGAGTTAGAAAGCTTGTTACGCAGAGATGAACATTTTTTGGTCATGTTCATTCCCTGACAGGTGGATGTATAAAACCAAGTTGAGACACATCCAGCCTCATACGTTGGCAGGTGTTAAAAGACCGTAAGTATATTTATGCCAACTGGAGCTATGTTGATACAAATTACAACTAAGCGATACTCGATGTAGCTCGGTTTACTTCACCTGCTGCACTTTGTTTCCCAGATTTGACTTTTGTTTTCGGTGAAAGTGAAACTCCACGGACAGTGATCCCATGTTCTTTTCATAAACAACTTTTTTCATACATATTCACGGAAGGAAGATTCCAAACCTAAACAATAAAGCGAAGTTGACCCAAAGGCCCAGTCTGCCTTAGGCTTGACTCAAGTCGGGATCGTTTGTGACGTTGTCTGTGCTTATGCTTTGGATGTGGAGGGCGCGCTTCGTTACTTGCTTCGTGCTCTCTTGTGCCCACTTATAACTATGAGTTAAGAAGTCCCAACTTCACGAATCTGCTAGCCGTTTGTACACTGCAAATTAGCTCATGAACCAAAACAGCTGGCAGCTAAGCAGATTGCTGGTCTTGTTTTACGCCTCTCATACCTCTGCTGTAATAAACGAGTCTACAAGTCTGACAAACTTGAATTGGTGGAACTTCCAAGTCTGACCACTTTGATTGGTGGAAACCCCGTATACACTATTCAAGATCATGTCGTTCATAGACAATTACGAATGACTGTATATCACCGGCGGTTGGTGTGATTGGCTTATCCGCTTAATCGGACTTACTGACTGGTGGCTCACGTTGTACAACCTTTGACGTTGACGCCGGATACCGTAGGAAAACTTTCAAATGAGGGTGCCTTATAAACAGTTATGCAAACAGCCGAGTGCGACGACCGTGTACTGTGTGAGTGAAGGGATGGCTGACTGGGGAAAAGCAACTTAAGTTCGACTTGATTAAAGTCTATGCCTGCTTCGTTATATTAGCCATCCCCTCCAAAAGATAACAATATTCTTTTTAACAGAGGTCTGTGTTTTATACGTTTTGATAAAGAGAGAGAGAGTATTGGTGACAATCTGTTGGGAACAGGAGAAGTAATATTAAGAGAGGTATTCTATTATCTTTTTACCAATCTTATTTCTGCAGCAATTTGTCTCTTCCAAATTTAATTTCAGAGACCTGAGCGATCTTAAAGTTGACCGGTTTTATTGAGTATTACCACAAATCTCATTTTACTATCTACTGTTTTTGAAAATTGGATTTAAGATAAGATTCCTTTCAATCTTACTCGAGCAATTTACCCCCCCCAAAAAAAACCCTTAACTCTTCGCAGCATGGGTGAAATTAAAACCCTTGAATCTGTTTGATAATGCATTTTTTTAATTGAACAGTCTATAGGAAAGAGGTTGAAAGAGGTGTTCCTTACTGGTAAATTGCCTTTGTTATTGCTTATCTGTATATCAAAATGATTTCAATAAAAAAATTCCAAGGTAAATGTCACTCGGTGTAAAAATACTGATGTTTCAGTAAAGCTCCCTCTCAATATTGTTGTCCAGAAGTTAGTTCTTCACAGCCTTTTCTTTGTGTTTTGTACTTCAAAGAAGTACTAAGACACACGGTTTTTCAAACTGATCCTTTGCCTTTGTGGCATTTGGGAAATCAAGGCGATTGACGTGAGCATAGATTAAAGGCCGATTCACACTTTACGCGAAAGCGGACGCAAACGCAAAATTTGTGACGTCAAATTAATGTTATCGCTGCAAATATGCAAAAGCTTAAGAATTTACGAAATTTTGCTCCAAGTTTTTCGTGACGTCAGTTTCGCCTGTAATTTCGGCCTGTTTTATGAACCGGCTATCAGATTAAAAAGCGTTATTACTGCATAGGGCCTTGATTCTATTCGGGACATGTAGGGTCATTCATTGCCATTCTATAAATTCAAGGTCCAAAAGTGTGACTTTTTGTGTCCCTGTTACACCTGACCTGTGTAATTGATTTCAAACTGTTTATTTGCTTGGCGTGTAATTTACATTAATTCATGCCAGGTGTAACAGTGACTCAAAAAAATGACCCTACAAGACCCTACAAAAGAAGAAGGGAAGGATGCGTTGGCCTGTTAAATCAGTTTGATGGATCCTCTTGCAGAAACCTGAGTTACAATATGTTAAAAGATATTCCGTCTGCGGTGTTTGCTGACCCAGCGGCACCCACTCCAAGGAACCTACTAGAAGTGTAAGTATGAGGGTTGTTAACTAGGACTAATAATAGAGATTCGTAATTCGCCTTTATTCACAAAATACGGCACATTGAACAATATAATAAAACGAAACAAAACAAATAAATGAATTAATAATCGAATGAATGCATTGGAAATAGCGTAACCATATTGGAAGATACAGGTCTTTAGGACAACTTGAAACTTTGAGAACAAAGAGAGGGTAATGTTCAATGGAAATATTATCATGACTTGAAATGTTGGATCCCACAAGGTGAAGCCGAGTGGAATGGAACATTTGTGTGTCACCAAATATAATTATTCTTACCATTGCATGTGAATGTGAAACATTCATTATTAGATCCAGTGCGAGTATTAACATCTTTCATTTTTCTTCGTGTTCGAAGCACTGCTCAGTAGTATTGTCTTGCAACATTAGACTGGTTTCCGCCCCTACATTATTTTCCTCTTTATTACTGAGACTGAGTGAAAAATATATAAATGGGGGCAGTACCAATCAGTTGAAATGAAATTCTAGTCAAAAGGTACCGGTGAAATAGATCTTATTATTCAATGATATGTTATGAATTATCTACCAATCAGATAACAAGGATTCATGTAGGTACAACAATGGAGTATTGAATGGCAGTTTGCTCGTAGTTAAGAACCTGGATGGGAAAAGTGTCGATATTCCCAAGAATGTTTACCGTGAGAAACAACGAACAGACGTCAAAAGATGTCGGCTCCTCTGCGGATCAAAATGAGGATTTATAATGACTTCATTTTGTACTGAGAGCCAAAGCGTGCAGGCAGTGAAAACAAACAGTTGTATGTCATGGTACTGCAGCATGATGTGTGGTGTGCATGAGCTCTTGAAGAAGCAAAGATCGCATTACCAGTAGGAGAAATCTTGGTCGATCGATTCTGTTATCTTTTTTGCAGTAATTTTCGAAAGAACCTGATCAATCATATATCTGAGCGAGCCTTCCAGGGAGTGCGAACAATCACCGTCCTGTAAGTAACCACATCGATTTGACGCATGATTTGATGTGGTCATTTTTACTTTTCTGATTGAAAATAATATTGTGGTATCACACCGGCTTTCTATGTTTAATTAGTTTAAAACTGTGCAATACTGGTGTACACCGTTGGAACCATGCATAACAGCTGTGGTTGTCAAGGATTTGAAAATATATTACGAATTAAACCATTTGAAGAAGAAATTCATATTTGCTATGCTGACTTTTACTCAATCGATGCATTTACTCTTCAGAACACTACAAGGCAACAAACTGTCATCGCTGCCCGAACACCTGTTTGCTAACACAACGATTTCTTTGACACTGTAAGCCTCTTCCGTAACATTGAAATTGGTCACATGCCATGAATTATTTTTATCATTGCTTCATTAAACGTTTAATTGTAAAATCATTCGGTGACGAAAATCCAACAAAATATACAATTCATCGAAAAATTGGTTTTCTTTTTTTTTCTTTTCGAGATAAAGCTAACATGTCCTGAACTGTGACATTGAATATTATCTGGTTACCGTATCTTCTCAGTAATGGTTTATTCTTTGAGTTAAAAAAAATCTAATTGAGTACACCTTGACCCCGAATTGGCCATTTTGTCCAACTTTTAGAAAAGTCCGTCACTTTTTCACATTTCATTTTGCATCAACTGATCTGGTTTCATTCAACTCTTTTGTCATTAAAAGGAATTTAGCGTCGAATCAGCTGACAACTATGCCAGATGGCCTGCTGCGATCACAGAGCATGCTCAAACATCTCTACCTGCAGCAGAACCGACTTACAGTTCTCAATGAACATATGTTCAAGGGACTCCGATCTTTGACCGACCTGTGAGTTCATGTAGCCTTGGTCAAGGTGGTCGTCATCATTAGCTGGCTCGTCATACTGGCTAGCTACCGGAAACCGGGGTAACTTTGGCAGGTTGAAAATCCTCATCGTTTCTGCTTTCCAAAAAACAGAAATATTTTTTCTTTGTGAAACATTAAGTCTAATTTCGTGATAGCCAACATCAATCCCCTTCTTTTAATTTTGAATTGGAGCTTAGGTACTGCAAAAGTCACACCATAGTTTACGCCAACCTTGGCTGGTTGCTGGAATTCAAAAATAATAATAATAATAATAATAATGACCGTTTGTAACATAGTTTTACACATGAGACATTCTTCAGGCCAAGCCTGCAGGTGTGTTTTATGATAATTTTAACTTCGTAAAAAAATGTTTTAGAGTACCTTATATCATTCATAGAGCCTGTTGCAAATACATGACGATTACAACCAGCGGGTGTGGTTTGTGCCAAAATTACCCCAAGGTACCAAAGTTACCCTGTTTTACGGTATCCGTTTCCGTCGTTGTTTATCGTGTACAGTTTAAAAAAAAACAATGCAAACAGCGGCCGTACGCGGCTAACGTGATATGTAAATTGGCTTAACCAGGACATCATACTCAATATTTCTTGCGCAAAGCTTGCATACAAATACAAATGGAGTGTTGGCGTGCATATTTATGGATTATCCAATCAGAGCCCATTCCAATGTCATCGTAATTTATGAAGGTACAATCATCAAAACGAATGAGTCATAACTGAATTAACTTCGTCGTTGTCCTAAAACTTTCTTTACATTAGAATTCTGCACCCAGAGGCGGATCCAGGGGAGGTGCAACCTCCCTCCGTTTAGCCGCGGCTATGGAACTACCAGTAAAATAACGGAAAATGAGTAGCCCAAAACATCCTAGACGAGGATTGCGCCGTCCATCTATCCACCTATGATTCAGTTTTATTTTCGTCATGCAAGGAACGGTACATGATGCTTTCGGACCCCCTCAGTAGGGCATCCCTTCGAATATGCCTATCAACCCCCTCCTAAAAGCTAGATCCCTCTCTTGAACCGGTGATTTATTTATACTTGAAGATTTTTGTCCCAAACAGCAGGCAGCCATGAAGTTTCATACTACAGACGTCTTTTGTGTACGTGATAAGGGTCAATGGATACCCTGTTCTGATCCGTATCCGAGTTCAATCTGACCCAAACTCGGGTCTGAGTTGATCCGATCTCCATAGAATCAATTAAAAATCAGATGCGATTGGATTGACTGTGTTATAGTCGAATTTGACCTTGTTTTCACTTGTTTCAAATACTTGTCTGTCATCAGTGCTTGACTTGAATTGACGTGGAGGCTTAGTAGACCTCGTTGTTGGTGATACTAGTGGATGCCAAGGAGGAGGGAGACCAGGATTCGTATCTGTAAAGTAGGACAGGCAATACACGGGTGTTGAGGATGTGGATTTTGGTAGATGTGCAGATCTTGCCGTCGCGCAATACCCGTGAGACACGACCAAAGGTACTCTGGTCCAGTTGAAGGCGGCGTTTGGTTTCCGGCTCTGATGAGCAGTCACGGGAGATCTTCGATCCTCGGTACACGAACCGGTCCACCAATTCGACCTGCTAGGAGGAGATGCTAACTGCCGGAGGGGGAGGTGGTAGAGAGTCGGACAGGAATTGCACTTTCGCTGATGGTGAAACCTAAGGGTGAAGCAACCTCGTCAAGAGCCTCCAGAGCCTCAACCAGGGTGTCCAGCTGCGTAGCAAGGAGCGCAATATCATCTGCATAACTGAGGTCTGTGAAATTAGAGTGGTAGTCCACACCGAGGTCGGGACAGCTATCAGAATTCCGTCGAATTGGTGCTGGTATAGAAGTCTCGGAGGATGCGGATGAACTTGGGAGGGATTCCTATGCCCGGGAAAAGGAGCAAGATTGCAGTCCCGTCCAGAGAGTCGAAAGCAGCCGTCAGATCGACGAAGGCCACATACAGTGGTCGGCGGAACGTCGTACGTTGCTGTGCAAAGACTCTCAGTGCAAGGATACAGTTGGTAGTGGAGCAGTTTGGTGTGAAGCCCGCTTGGTGAGGGCGGCGCTTGGCTAGTAACAGGGCTTGGATTCGTCTGAGGATGATAACCATGACAATTTTGGAGGGTACAGACAGCAGCTGGATGGGACGATAGCGAGAGACATTACGCCGATCTCCCTTATTCTTGTAGAAGGACAGAATGGTGTCCTCCTTCCATTCGACAGGGACTCGCTCTTTTACGATGGCAAAGGTGAAGTAGCCAGGGACATTGGAGTTGCTGGTTGCCTTTAGCATTTCTCCAGAGACGCTGTCGGCCCCTTGGGCTTTGCCAGACGGAAGCTTCTGAATGACGTCCGTTATCTCAGGGAGAGAAGGTGGATCAAGAAATATGGAAGCCTCTGTGGTGCCCGACTTGGCAAAAAAGCTGCAGGTCTTCAGATGTAGGCAAGGGGGCTTGTACAGGGTTCTATAATAGTGTTAATACCAGCTATGCAGTTTGACTGGGGCTTCAGTGAGCAAGGTGCCATCCTCAGTTCCATCCAAAGCTCCTTTGTGGCCTTGTGGGCTTGGCGGAGATTCCCTGCCCAGAAGATGTTTTCATCCTTGTCAGCAATCCAATGCTGCCAGAGGGCGTACTTGGAGCGCAGGCTACGTCTTCTTTGCTTGGACAGCTCGCGATAAATTTCCCCAAATCCTAGCAGTCTGGTTTGTCTGCAGCAGTCCACCAGATCCAGGTAAGTATCTGAGATCCAAGGCCTTTTTCTAAAACGGCGAGCACCAAGCACCATTGAGGCTACAGGAGTAAGGGTTGAGCAAATCTGGTCCTAGCCATCCTCGAGAGTCTGAGGCCTCCTTAGAGCATTTAGGCTTGAGGAGACTACTGCAAAGCAGCGCTTGGCGAAAAGACGGTTACGGAGTTTCTGATTGTCAGGAGGAAATCGTTAAGCATGGCTTCAGCGGGTATTTCTACGGAGATGAAGAAAGAGGCTGGCGATGAGCAGACAGCGATCTGTGTTACCAAGCTCAGCACTGCGGAACGCCCGGCAATCAGAGGCAAGCCTCCGGCGACCGCTGACCAGGATGTCATCAATTGTCTTGCTGGTGATACCGGTGTTGTTGTACCAGGTGATTCTATTGATCTGCCGATGCTGAAACCAGGTACCAAGGATCTGTATAAGGTTATGTGCAGCACAGACCTCAGGTATGCAGTCATCGTTGTTATTGGTAATGACGAAGGGAAAGGGATGTGGTCCAATGATGTGTTTGAGACCAAGACGATCTGGGCCGATCGTAGCATTCACGTCCCAAAGAACGATGGTAATATCGTCTCGGGAAAAGTGCCGGAGCTTGCTATCTATTTAGCAGCTGATAGAAGGTGTCCTTGGTTTCCTCATCGGAGACATCGATGGGAGAATAACATGAGAAAACAGAGATGTACCCGTGGCACTGCTTTAACCTTGCAAAGAGTAAGCGGGGACTAAGCGATTTCCAGGTGATGATAGATGCTACATGGCGATGATGGATGGCCAGGGCTACCCCCTGAGTATGATCATGACTGCTCCAGAGAAGACGGTAGTTGCCAATAAAAGTCTCACCCTGTCCATCTGACCTCCTGTAAACTAGCAATGAAGATGTTCAGACGGGAGAGTTCAGAGGAGAGAAGCAGAAAATGACCAGGTGAATTAAGCGTGAGAATATTCTAGGTGGCAACACGGATATGATGGTGTGCGGGGCGAATAGGTGACAAAGACACAGAAGGGACATCCGGGGAACCCCTTGCGGGTTTGAGGGAGGCCCGTCATTACTGCCAAGTGTGAGTAGTCTAGAGAGAGAAGGTTTGTGCCTGGCCGGGAGGAGCCAGGTCTTTCGACATCTAGTTCTCGTAGCAAGATTGGTGTACGGGGGGGTTGCTAGCCCTACGCCCCCTGGCTGGGGCATTAGCGCTGTTGACGAAGTCCAGGAGGTCCAAGTACTATCACTTTCCAATGGAGGCTGCCCAGTCCAGAATCCCTCGGTAGAAATCTGTTATTAAATGTGGCACAGCTAGAGCTGTGTTGAACAGTTACCAATGTTTTCCACGTGCAGTAATCAAATCTCTCCCCAGATGCCGTGATCCCTTGAATTTCTGTTGTGATCTTGCAGGAAGGGCGCTGTCGCAAGGCGTTGGTATACCCCCTCCCTTCAGAGGCTGAGATTACCCACCAAAAACACTAAATAAAATTAACCAAAAAAATACCTCCACCAACAACTAAAACTAAATGAATTCTATCATTATCTCAAATCACGACTTTAAAATTCTTTGACAAATTATATGTATGTTTAGGTCATTGATAGTGCAACACAATTAGCTATTATTCAGGTAAGTTCGGATTGTGTCAGATATGGATCATATTCAGTCAGTCGCGTCAATTTGTGCCGGCAATCGGGGGGGGGGGGGCTGGGGGAAAGGGGGGGTTACATGTAAATTTGAAAAGCAGAGGGGGTTGACAAAATATTACTATGTATAGGTCGATGTTCATAATATTAATGAACATCTGTAATATGTATTAAGAATGGCTTATTCCAGGCTCTTTGATTATTCTCCCGTTTTGAGTGATACTGAATACAGTTTAGTTGATGGACGTCTGAAAAATTCTTCACTATCCATTTCAATTTTTGGCTCATGGACACAGCGCTTTTTGTCAGAAATCGAATCGGATTTGGATTTTTGCCTAGAGCTGTCAGTTTAGATTGGACTCTAACCCAATTCGAACATCTTTATGCGCTCAGTGCTCAACAGTAATAGAACAACTCAAGAGACTTTATCTTGTATTTCCTTGGTTAGTATTGACTCTATTTAGTTGCACAGACGCACAGAAACATTAACGCAGAATGCAAAAAATAACAATATAATCAACATTATGAGGTTGTGATACACAAAGGTTTAAGTAGATTTCGCCAAACAAATGTAAAGACATGTTGAACTGTTATTAGCCATTTACGTTAGCTATTTCCTCTTTTGCAGAATGCTCTTTGATAACCCACTAATTGAAGTAGCGGATTGGGCATTTTATGAAACTCAACTCACACGTGTGTAAGAAACAAATTCTTATTTTTTTAAGGCATGTAATGGACAAAGTATTCACAGTAAAGCCTCGCTGAGGACGGAGGTTAACCTCCTCGTTTGTGTGGCTTTCATCAAAGGGCAAATCTCTTCACCACTGTAAGGTTGTCGTTTTTGATGGAATTATAATCATTTTCAAATGAGCTTACATTATGGTAGCATTCACGCCAAGACCTCACGATGTGATTTGTTGTAAGGAGATACCAAAGTTAAGCGAATTCATGAAAGACATGATTGTGCAAGCGAAATATCAAACTTCAAATTTACAGTAGCCAAGCATCAATCTCATTACAATCTTCCAAAATTAATTTTAATTATGTATTTGTAGGATGGTGTCCTCAATACCGGTACTGGAAGAAAGCTGATACAAGATGTTGGGATGGTGTGCCCTAAGTTCGGAGCTTGTGTTTACCTTAGGGAAGTTTTGTTCAGGTCAAATTCTTTGATTCAATTTGTCAACAGGTACATATTCCAGACCAATCTTACTGTATTAGGACGACGGCCATTCGCTACAGTCAATGACACAATCAAACTGATGTAAGCAAAGTTAGCTTTTAACACGGAACTTCGCTTTCTCATTTCAAATTATTTGAATAAATACCGAAGTCGATCTAGGATGCAGTGCAAACTGTTCGTCCTCAGTGGATAAAGTGCCTTATAGGTGTCAACACTATTAAGATTACCAATGATGCTGCGAATGTATGACGCGCGAAGGCAGCCATTGCACTACCTCCTGCAACTGAGGATTGCCTTTACATCTTCTGCTGTGAACAAATAAAATGCCATATCATCATCATCTTTTGATTCAAGATTGACAATGATATCTATGGCAAATATATGAATGCACAAAGGACGTTTTTGCACTACCGGCTGCAACAGAAAGTTGACTTCTGTGAGTTAAGCCTATAAATGAGGTTCAATGGATAACGTTGGGTATTTCAGCTTATACTTCCATTAAATAGGAAACTTTGACTTATTTTCACTTTATTCGGTTTGCCATTTCAGGTCTTTATATGGGAATTATTTTGAGACTCTTCCTGATGCTTTGTGGCAAGATTTGGCAACTAATTGCTATGTGTGAGTAAATACTTTTGACAAATATCAAAGTTAGATTTACTTCTGCAGAGTAAGTTGTTTATATACGACCCCAAGAGCAATGGTCAACGATCCAAGGATTAGATCCGATACTGCAAATATTACAGATTACATCATCACCCTTTTTCAAAGTTTTCATTTCTAAACTTCCCCTTACCAGGTCTGTTGACAATACTTTGAAGTTTGCTCCATCCACAAATAGAACAGACATCGAGATGTAAGTAGGATACTGCACGAAACCTTAACGACTAAAGTGCGTTCCCCCTCCCCAGTTGAAATGTATACAACCTTTTACCCTTTTCAGAGGCTGAGGTGAAACTGTTTGCTTACTAGGAGTTGAGGTGAGCGCAGAAGTGCTAAATAAAGTGCCCAATATAGGCAGCAGTACCACTGTCGCCCCTTATGATGTAAGATCCATCCGATTGATACTGAGGGCTAGACAAATTCGACTTAAATGTCTTCACATCAATTGATCTAGATTTCACTCATTCTTTTTTTTACTCGAAGGGGACTTTTTGAAGATAACTGTCTAACGTTTGACAGTTGTCACTTCAATTCCAAGTTTAACTCCTTCAGATTTTAATAAATATACCATCATTACGTGATTATTATTTCCTTTTTGGTTTTTTTCGTTTTGTTCCAGCGAGTTGGTTAGAGATGGATTTGCCCAGCCAATCAACTTGACGAAGGATGATGGGAAGATGCTTACCAAAACTGGTTTTGAATGCTACCCATTGCACAATACAGATATTTGGCAGTGTAAACCTTGCCCGCAGGGCTTCTTTGGAGCTTCGTGGAGCGGCGTTTGTATAGCCTGTCCACCTGGTAAAACGTGATTAAGAGAAAGTGAAAAATGACATGCCCGTAATTCCGTAGTGGGATGAGGAAAGAGCCTTAATAAACAGCACACACATTAAGCAGTACTGTCACCCAACACCAAAATCTTAACTTACCATTTACCTTGAATGTGATTTGTGCCCTGGCAAATCCTGGATTTAGAAGGTGGTACATTTGACAATGTCTGGGGATCTCTAAAATGCGTTTAGTTTCAGATTATTTTAATTTTTCCAAACGGTAAAACGGTTTTGGACTTCTTACGGCCGGGCAGCCTTGATTGGTCATTTTGTAATCCCTGTTACCCAACTTCGCTTGTAAATGTGACTGTTGTGTTAGGTTTGTCAGAAATTTCACGTAGATATAGGACTACACCCAACAAACTCTTATCAATGTGCTTCTATCTCTACCTTCAAACAACCATTAGTTTAAATTATGTAATAGGCCTAATTCAATGAATTTTCTTTCTTTGGAGTTTGCATTTGAGAAAAAAAAACATCAATTTAAAAACAAAAAGATGGGGCAATACTTTTGCTTCAATTAGAAGAATCGAAAAAAGGAAAGTCAAAATCATTATATTTTTGTTCATCTTAGGTGGATTTTTTCAAAACCAAACTGGACAACTTGTTAAGGGCGGCCAGGTTATGAACTGCCACAAATGTAACAATGGGACTTTCGTCGCTCCCTCCGCCCAACCAGGTAAACGTCCTGCCGACTGCAAAGTGTGCCCGACAGGTACCATTAAAAGCCTACACGCAGGCTTCCGCGCATGTCCGTGTGTGGATAACTACTATCGCACGGATCGCTTCGGGGAGTGCTACCCCTGTCCAACAGAAGGGCTCAACTGCACAGAGGAGTACCAGCATCTCCTGCCCGGTTTCTGGTGGACCTGGAACTGGGGTTCGGATGGCAACCGCCGATCCTATGAGCAGTTTGTCCAAAATCTCCGCACCGAAAACGCCTCCTACGATTCGTTCTCGCAGGTGTTCCTGGGGACTCTACCAAGAGTCCACGCCTGTCCCAGACCTGAGTCCTGTGCTGTTGAGGGGTATGGCATACGCGTCACGTGTCAGACGGGCTATGAAGGTTGGCTTTGCTCTCGGTGCAGCAAGGGATATTATGCCAGGCTTGACAACTGTCTGGAATGTCCTAAATGGCAATGGTTCCTGCTAGAAGCCATGGCAGTGCTTTTAGTGGTGGCTGTTCTCATTGTCGTCATTGTTTGGGACTTGAGGAGGAATCGCAGGAGCGGTCGATCTGTAGTCGATAAGCTCCTTGCCAGAGCGAAAATCTTGCTAGGGTTCTACCAAGTCATTGGTGAGATATTCTCTGCCCTTGAAGAAATTCAGTGGCCGGATCTCTTGAAAAGCTTCGGTTCAGTTTTGCATTTTTTGGAAGTTGATGTCATGAGGATTGTCATCAGTCCGCGGTGTTACTTTCCGGACTTCACGTATCCTGATGTTTACATTGAGTTTATATTTGGTTTCGCTTTTGTAGCCGTTGTTTTCTGCGCAGCTTTATGTTTTTATGGCGTTACTAAATGCTACCACGTTGCCAAAGAAACACCTGTTTTGGATATGACACTCGCTCTGACAAAAGCAAGGCAAAGGTGTTATCTGTTTGTTGTTATGCTGCTTTTTGTGTCCTATCCCAGTCTTTCCAGTGTAATATTGACACTTTTGCCCTCCAGTTGTGACTTGTTTTACCTGGATGAACACCACATGTTTAACGCAACCAGGCTCCGATTTGATTACTCAATCGATTGTAAAACTTCACGACATGTTCATTTCACTCATGCTGCCGAGGTCTCATTGAGCTATGTCATTGGCTTTCCTTTGTTGCTGTTTGTTTTGCTGTGGTGGAGCAGCGGTCCCTGGAGGATTCTTAGACGCTTTGCCTTTATGTTGTGTGGTTGTGAGAATGGCAATGCATCCTCTGATTGCAACATGGCTTGTGAAGAGCAGAGTTTACCTTTTTTGCAAGGGTGGGAGGGGGTCCGGAATCGTCGCGGCATAAACGCGTCCAATGGACAGTCAGATCTTGACGGAAGAACCACTCGACGCCAATCCGACCAGACTGTAGAGCACACTACCACCGGACAGCACAACACTGAAGGAGTCACCTGGAAGACCTTCCTGTGCGAAAATTACAAGCCTCAGTTCTGGTACTGGGAGATCATCGAACTCGTCCGCAAGATCGTCCAGACAGTGTTCGTGTTACTCTTTGGCTACGAGGACCCGTTCACCATGCTTGCAACCATCGTCACATCAGTGGTCTTCCTGTTGATTCACTCCTCCGTCAGGCCCATGAAAGATGATTCCGAGCACCGTCTCCAGTTGTTTTCTCTCGGGACCATCTTTCTGAACCTCTTGGTTGCATCCCTGCTTCTGCTACCAGCAAACGAGGATCCCTCTAGTGAAAAGAGAAAAGAAGTACTTGCTGTCACTCTTGTTCTCCTCAATCTGAGTCTCATTGCATTTGTTTTATGTAAGTATCTCTCCTTCCCTACACGCTTTTTAATGCATTCGCTGTTATTAACAGGTTACAATTATAAGTTCAGCACAGTCATTACCATGTTAAAAAAATTAAATATTGTTGTGATTCTACGTTACTTTTTCAGTCAGCTTCATGTGGTCTTGTGCAAAGGCTGTCTGGAGGCAAGGTTGCTGTGGTGGAGTGGGAGCACGAATTACCGAGCTGTGTCGCCAGCGCTCTCGACCTGCAGCGTCGAGATGCGACCACGAAGGAGATGAGGATGACGACGAGCTGCAGAGTTACGCGGAGATACAGTATTCGGACATTGCAAACGCTAGCTGAATATATAGAGACAAGTCCGCATTTTGACATGTTTAGCGCTAAGATGACAGAGGTCTTGTTCCATCTCGTTTCTTTACAAAGTGCGTTTCAGCTTATTTCTAATATGCACCGTCCCAAATCTGCAAATTCATATACATAAAGGCCCCCTATTAGATCAGTCCTACTAAAAGGCCTGTTTGAATTAAAAATAATATGTTTGAGTTGAAACCATAATGAAGTTGTAGTCTTTTTAGAAAACCGTGACCGAACGTTTAATTCAAAATTATTTGCTTTTAGTTTGGTTTGGCGCAACTCTAGGCCGCCTGTCTGAAACGGGTGTAATCGAACTTACCATAAATGTATCTGGGCCTAAATTTAAGAAATCAAGATCCAAAATTAATTTCATTACATGTTTTTAAACCCATTGATCGGCTAAATCAAAAATACATTCGATTCCCACAGGTCGTAATTGAATTTATTGTACCAGTGTAGGCCAGAGGGTGCACAGTAATGGATAATGTACTCCTTATAAGCGCTATTGTACTTCAAAGTAAGTTTGAGTTTTTCCATATTGGCCTTGTTTAAGGAATAGGTCGAGTTTGAAATTTGGTGAAAATTAGTCGAGGCAGGATTTATCTAAACGCATGGTGTCCCTTGAGGGACATCGCCCATCGTCAACATTGACACCAAAATTCTCGACTAAATTCACGCTCTTTGGTCGCAAATTTTGCTGTCAATATTCACGACCAAATTCGTGATTCGTTGTATCTCCGGTCACATATAGTCTTGTGACCCTGCATTCTGACTAAACTGCCCGGCTGAATAACGACTTGAGATCAAGCCGCAAAATGTAGGTCATTGTGCTTGCGCATGAACACTTTATTTCCGCCCAGCTTGCTGGGAAAAAATAGCGGCAATATTTCCGAATGGAGATACAACGAGTCGTGAGTTTGGTCGTGGATAGTCATTAGTTCTTCAGTTGGGTTTGTAAAGTTTGCGTGTTAAAGTAGCAGATCAACAAGCACTGTTAAAACTTAAGATAAAAATGTAAACAGTTAAGCTGGTGTAAAACGTAAGGCTACACAACGATGTTAAATTTAGCGGAAATCACAGTAAGTCAACAGACGCGTGTTTGTGTCTACACCATGCGTTTCAAAATAAGCACTACAAATATATGTCAACAAAGAAGGTGGTGTAAAAGGTCAATGGTACTTAGCGAATCAAGTTATACCAAATCTGAGTAAATATAGTGATAATAGGTGAAATGCATTTAATCAATGACAGTGCGGAGTGTTCTTTCATGCATACATCTTGCCGACATAGGACCCCTTTCCTCCAAATTATGGCCATGAAATTACCGACTACATGTTAATTAAAATTAAACCACAACGAACTGAGAAAGGTCAGAGAGTTGTTGGCTAATTTATGACTGTTTCAGTGGACAGGACATTGAAAAATTGCGTGTGTTGAGGGAGATTTTCACATATTATGACAAAAATATACAGTCAGAATTTCTATTGATTTACCTGAAAAATTCGTATCCAAGGTAAAATAGGTGAATCTCCTAGATAGAAACTTCTGTAGGAAAATACTGCCCGTTTGAGGTCCCCAAAATTACAGAAATATACTAGATGTTTTCCAATGTGATGTTTCGCGGTCGGTCGCTTTCAGAATGAAAATAATTTTACAAATAAAGTAACCTTAAGTTTGTATGTAAGGCTAGAGTAAGTTTAGTTTAGTACCTAACTTTGCACCGAAAAATTATGTGTTTTGAGCTTTAAAAACAGAGAAGTTCAAAATATATTGCATTTGTAGCTATTTCATAACCGAATACATTGGAAATGTAGCTTAAAAACTCTCGTAATGAAAGTATGAATACATCCTAAGCAAATACAACTCTGCTACACAGTCATAACGATGATCATCGCTTCGTAATCCATAAAATATGCTTGGCGATACTCTACAGATTTTAGTGATTGAAAATTCCCATCTCAGTTACTATCTCTTTCAAGAATCAATGCAAAGATTTCCTAATGAGCTGCAGTGCTTCACTCAAACAAAGCGTGCGTACACATTAATACATTTCTTTCTAAAATTGAAATTTGGAATAACTGTTAAAAGTTTTACATGGAACTGCTCTCATTTTGGAAGGTTCTTTGACGATATAGATGCCTTTCATTCTAGTCCTGAAAGGGAGAAGGAGATGACAGTGTTGTGACCATGAAATACCTGCATTCATAACAAGCTTTAGGGAAAAATGACGTAAAATATACCCTACATCACCTGTATATGATATCAAAAAGGTGAAAGAAAATGGTATTTCTTGTCCGTTTCGGTTTATATGCATGCATGCGATGTTGAAACATTATCAGAATGCCTTCCATATGAAAGGGTAGTGCATTGTGTTCCATTTCTGTGGTTTATATATTTAATGATATCAATATAGGAAAGGCAACAATGAAGTATTTCGGAGAAACATTCCAAGGTCCTGTGGACACTGTGACAAAAAAAAGGTTAACACTGCAGTGGTCTGTAAGAACTGCAACATAAGAATGAAATAGAAGGTTCTGACTATAATAATTAAAGCTAATGTTCAAAACAGATTTTTGTGATATTTTGCTAAAATGTCCTGAAACTAATATTTGTTTATATGAGAGAAAAATTTAATGTATTTAATAACCAGAATGTGCATTATTTGATACTGTAACATAGCCTTCCGGGTAAATATTCAATACTCTGATACTTACTAGACTCGTGCATATTAAATCTCCGTCTCCGTGCTCGGCATATCCTTTTTGAAAATGTAAAACAAAACGTACATTAACGTGTAGTCTTAAGAAGATATTCATCATACAAGCATATATATGAAATGCAATCCAGATTTTTTTTCCAGACAAGGGGGTCTATGAGTAGTGGGCCCAAGTCTAAGATATTGCATAATTTGTCTCCATAAGAAGGAATTTCAGATATTTCCCAACATTACGTACATTTACACCCACAAAACAACTTGCACCAACTTGAGCATCAAGACTGGAATGACAGTTTTGACTTCAATATAGGTCTTTAAGTGTCTGTTTTATCAGAAATGAACTGCCATATTTCAGTTTGGAATCCGTCCACCAACATCCTGTTAAGTGTAACCTGACGTTATGTTTTTTGGTAAATAAAGCTAGTTTGTAAATTTGGTTTAAAGTTCCCAACCTGTGGTGAAAGAATAGATGTTAAAAAAGAAGCTAAGAGGTTCAAGGAAGACTCGGAAGTCTGTTGTTTTTTATTGATTTCTTTTTCATTTTTCACGTTAAGAAAGTGTGAATTATCTAACCATCTTTGTCACTGGTGCTGGATTTGTGTTCTCGGTAAGCCTCATGTTTTCCCCTTCTTCGACAGGAACCAGTGTGTGATTGTCATCGTCCTCTGATGGCCTCCGACTGCTACCAAGGGAAGGGTCTACTTTGCTCTTCTTCCTGACCACCAACACGACGAGAATCACAACTACCACAAGGACGAGGCAAAGGGAGCCTAATATGATCAGGACTAAGGCGACAGTCGAGAGGCCACCTGAGACAGAAGGAAGTAGCAGACTTCAGATCATGTTCACATTAGATATAGACACATGACCCTGAAATGTACACTTTTATTTCAATCCATCCAACGTTATTCTCCCTAGTCGTTTACAAAATGGACGTAATCGTTTTACTTGACCGGGTTTTATTAGAAATGCTTCATCCTATTAAATTCATTTTCAAAATCTGCCATGTCTACGGACCTTACAATCCTGTACAAGTCACTTTGGCACTCCAACTCCCGACCCCCTTTCAATGTTTGGTCTATGCGCGGGGTCTGCACTCCAGCTGGCGACAACATTGATCAGGGGGAGTGGGCCGGAGACCGTTTGGCTTTTGCCACGTGTCCGAACAATTTTGTCCTGGACTGCAGAATGAAAACTTGGACCTGCTCGCTTCCAGTGAAACGGCCTTTCCTGGAGCGTGCACCCATATATAATTATAAACTTTGTAAAGATGGTTCAAAGTTCCTTTCTCCCTTCTATGTAGAAATGTGTTTCAGGACAATGTAAGCTGAATTTTTTCTGATACCCGCAAAATTAATTGTCAGCAAGTCTCGAAGTCCGTTTAGATGCACCCACCTTGATTGGGTACCGGCTGAATCTCGCATTGCTCCCCAGTATATCCAGACACACACCTAAATAAACATGATAATGTGTCTGTCAACTACTCCAGGTTCTACAAAAGAGGATCACGTTGTCAAGACCCTTGCATGGAAAGAGAAATTGTGAGCAATATCGCCAGAAGAAAAATGCAAATTTGAAAACTTTTTCTTGTACATGAAAATTTTGATTGCTTCTGTACAGATTAAAAAGAATTTTTTTTATTTTTTCAAGGATATGTGTGGATTTTTTCAACAAGAGCTGTAACTTTATATTTTTAAAACGATTGAACAAAAGGTCTTTCTTTCATTCTTGCTCTTTCACTTTCGGGATATTATTCAAATTTACCTGCAAGAAAACCAAGGAGAGAGATTTGGCCTTTCGCAAGTCCCACCATTAAGGCAGTGGTGAACAGGGCAAGTTGTTTGTACCTCTGAAAATCAAAGGATGAATGTATTTTTCTCTGAATAGGTTTAAAACTTTGGAGCAAGCACACACCAGTCGTCCGTGATTATCATTTTGAAAGAAGCGAAACAAGTGAAAGCATTTTCAAAACAATGAAGCTTGGGGCTCTGAAATTAAATACTACAATTGCTGCCTGTGTGTTTCATCACAGTGTAGTAAACATTTCAATGAGTCATTCAAGTCCGGTCAGAATTTCGTTTAGCATCTGATAAATGTCTCTTTGTCAAAGTTGCAGCTACCTTCGGTGCGAATAGAGTCTGGATCAATGCCAACTGTTGTATTGCCGTCAAACAGGGTTTGACTACTTGACAGAACTTCCTCCAGCTCAACCTTGGTGGGCACCTCGTTTTCAGGGAAGGATACCACAAAAGTTACAACCACGCTGCCCCTTTCCATCATTGTTACTTGCACTGCAAGGGCGTTCCATGTGGCTTTGTCTGTCTCAAGCCTATTCATAATCTAAATATTGAGAAAACAATTAAGCTCAAACTTACCCTAAGGTGCCAATCCGAGCATATTTGCATTTTCTTTACTTTTTATATCATATAGCTTGTTATCAGCGAAGGGAGATGATTTTAAATCCTTCACCTTAACATTGACATTAATATTAGTAATCTTCCAAATCTTGTCCTCTCACACTGTAGTCTGTAAGACTACACTGAACTTCAGTAACAATCATTTCTGGCCAAACCAACTGCATCGGAAACTATCGTAAAAAATGTACGTATGCTTGCGACCATGCAATTAGCCAATGCAAGTCAAATGATAAAACTTAGTGACGGAGTGATCATCAGCTCGATATTAGATTTTTACAAATTACCGCCCGTTCAAGCATTGCAGCAGTGTCTTTGAAAGCGCTGGTTGTTGGGTTCTTATAGGCAGCCTTGAAATCCAAATTGGTTTTGATCTCTACTCCAAACGAAGGGATTTCTGAAAAAGAGCGTAAGAAAGCGTTTATACTATCGTAAGGTAAGATATACTGACAAAAAGTCATGTTCCTGAATTGCACAACATTCGAGTTGGAATCCAAAGCTTGACGTTTTTTCCAACGTAATTATAGTCACCGTTCACTTTTTCTTCGCACCGAACCTCCGCAGGTTATTTGAGTAACGTCTCTGCTTTCTCGTGAAACACCTTTTTGGTGGAACACACGACGACGAGCAATATTAACTCTTCCTATAACTTACTTCCTATATTAACTCTTCCTGTTCGGTGCAGAGTGACCATGACATCGTGACAACAAATATATTGGTTGAATTTAAACTTTAAAGCCTTAACATGTGTACAGAGTTTCAAAAAGATGGAACACTGAAGTGCTTAAACGTTTGAATGCAGACTCCAACCAGCCTTCGCACTGTATTTACGAGGGGTTTAAAGGGAGTAACTGCTTCTCTAGGTTTGATAAAGATCTATTAAAACATTTCACGTTCGCAAGAGCCATCGCCGATTTCGACGTATCCCTCGAAGGCACGACAGACACATGAGAAGCCCTCTTCTTTCGTATCTGGTACACAGTACGTCCCTGTCTCCGAACACAGACTGCTGTTTAACCAACAAGGATTCTTCTCTGGAATAGAATGGTAGACGTGGAATAAGCATAGCAGCTGGTCTTCACATTGCTTGGGTTTATGCAAAATGCGAATCTCTAGTAACACTTGTGAGCTCACACGCATACGTTAGGTATACCTCGTCAAAAGACTAATCTGTTATAAGAAAAACCTGCGTCCCATCTTGGAGCAGATTTTAGCTCAAGGCAAGATCTGTCGTTTTCTTCTATGTTTGGATCAACGTTTTATAAACAGTACAAGTCGTCTGTGACTTCACTCGTTATGTTCCATAGATCCTTTCTTACTACATATCATATTTCCCAATTTTTTATTCATTTTTGTGTTCTGTTGTAACAGTTGTTTCCTTAATTTGTCATTTAATCCTACTACTGTTTTAAAACAGCCAAAGGAGGAAAACATTCAAATGTACAATAGGTAGAAATCATATTTCCTTTCTTTAGTAGAATGTGTGTGTAATTTACAAGTTATGGCTTATCACGATTTTGTCTGGAACTCGCCATATTATTCTTGGACTTTCAATCATTCCTCAATAATTGCCATTTTTGTTTGATATTATTTAATTTCTCCTTTTTCCTTTGAAAAGCTGTCAATTCATTAACTGTTTCTTCCCTTTATCGATGCTCTTGGCATTCGTTATTGAAACAAAATTGTCATGTTGCCGATGGATTGAAATGTCTCTACCATCAGTATTTAGGCCCTCACAATTAAAAAAAAATTGTTTGGCATCAGAAAATAATAGGCAGACACTAAAACTTGGAAATAAGTTATTATGTGCCAGTACCGTATCCTTGATTGTAACTTCTTAAAGCCTACCTGCACATGTTAGTCCCGAAAATTCCTCCGGACAAACACATTCGTGGGTATTTTGGTCGAATTCCGCGCCATTGAAACAGTCAGAATCTTTCATTTCTTAACAGCAACAGTAAAGAAAGTAAAAGGCTGCTATAAGAATGAGCCAGGAGATGATCCCAAAGATCTGCTGAAAAACACTTTTGGAGGATGTCGGAGACAGTTGTCTTCATAAAAGCCCTGTTACAGTAATATTAGGTGTCGAACGCGCGCTTACTTTTTCAGTCCAGAATAATGTTCATGTTTGTGACTGATACACAAAACTCATTTGGGGATGTCACACGCAAGCCACACGAGTTAAATTGCAATAGGCATATGTTCTTTATTTGCTCACTAGTGACATTTTGAGTAAGGTGAAACGACGCCAGTGACCAAATAAACCAGCCTTTTCGAGATAAAGTACCTAAGCAAGTCTTCCCATCGTCATCCAGGTAGTACCCCGTTTCACAGCTACACTTGAAGCTCTGTGGAAAATTCTCACAGTTGTGGTCACATCTAAGCCGAGGATCATCTTTGTACATCTTGCACTCATCAATATCTTTAGATAGATCAATCCAGTCGAAAGATTATGTTATAAGTGTTACAACGATGGAAGAAATTTGTGTTGTTAGGTACATAAAACGCGTGCCTACAGATCACGTAGAGATAAAATGTTCACATGGTTTTTAAGGGATAAAGAACTTGTAAACCCAATATACTTCATTCAAGTACAAGGTTTCTTATCGAAGCAACCATTTCAATATTGCTTACTCAATGAATCTATTGGTCGTATTATGAAGGGACAATTATACAATAGCTTTGTTGTATCGGGAATTGTATGATTTAAAAACTAAGTGCACCAGATATTTCACTTCTGTGACGCAGTGACTTTACCTTTACCTTGGTGCGGCTAGCAAATTACGGTACCTGTGCATGTTTTTCCATCGCCCTCCAATCCCCCAGGACAAGGTCCGCACGTGCTATTCATAGACGGCGGCGCTTCATCTGTACATTCCACGCCCAGGTAACATGGGCTGCCTGCGCATGCGTCGTAGTTAACTTCACAGAACTCACCGGTCCACCCAGGCTTACACTGGCACAGCAATACCTGATAAGTATAAGAGGTAAATTAATGGCACCACTGTTGGGTAGTTCAGCATTTTTTTTTCCTAATTACATGTAGGCCTACTAGCGATTGTTACTTGCCTAAGCTACACTTTTAGCTCCTACAGAAACTCCCTTGGCAAGCAGGTATATCTCGGATGCAAGCAGCGAAATAGAGGCACAATATCCGCATGAGATGGAGCAGGTCGTGCATTATTTCAGGTTTGCACTTACCCCGAAGCGGTCTTGGATGAGATTAGTGCCGTCTACAAACTGATCCGAGAGGCAGGTGCCGCCATTTTGGCAGTTGCAGAGATTCACTATCGGCTCAAGAGTAGAATTCGATCTGCCATCCGTGGCTAAAAACCCGACTCTAACCTTCGATGTGTCAACAGGTATCCAGATAAAAAGGCCATCTGTGGCAAAAGATAATCCTTTTTTGTGTTTTATCACTGTTGGAACACACTTGGAAAAAAGAAACAATAATGCTTCTTTCATTGTCACCAAATTGAAGAAACCTGACGTCGATCCCAAGAGCAGTAGTCCTATGCTCCCTTGGATGTTTCACGGAAGTTGGTCACAATGCAAACTTTCAGTTAATATCATGATAAATCCGATATTGGACTATTTAAACTCCATGGCAGATAATATTGGAGGACGCTGCTCGATTTTAGTGAATCCCATGCATGTATTAAGCCCTTCGTTGCATGGTAATTACCATTCTTTCTTAAACACGGGCCAACATATTTATACGGGCAGACAAAGGTATTTCAAATTTCACATGGGGTTCGTCACGTTTGCCATAAATTGTCATAACATTTGTGCAAGATTTGTGACACATTCTGAAATATTCTCTTCTTACACACTAGGCAATCCATTATTTAGTTAACCAGTGGTTATGATAAGGGAGCAGAAAGTTAATGGATTATCTAAGAAATTTTGCATTTCTGTTCCCTCCTCGAATCGACCGTACTTCAAACAGGCTAACCAAATGTGTAATTGCTTGAATGGCTACACAGTAAAATCACTTGTGCTAACTTAACGCCTGCGATGTCTCTCCAACGAGTGTAGTCCCAAGGTGTTAGATTATCACATATTTAGCACCACAGTTTTTGCAGTGCTGGCACTTATGATAATGAACTGAGTCTGACTAACATTTGAGTCGTCAATGTTTCCCTGATAATAGGTTAGACAGAACAAATATGCAGGAAACTGGGTAGTGGAGACGTTCCATTCGCTGTACTTACCTTCCTCGCCAATCGTTGCACCTTGTATACTCTCCATTAGTTGGAACGCAACATCGTCCCCATCTGGATCCGTAGCATCTAACTGGAGAGTCAATTTCTCTTCCACGGTGGCTCGAACAGTTTCAACAAGCGTGAATTTTGGCGGATAATTGGCTGAAAATAATTCAGCAGTTTTTGGTTAAATCAGATTTCTTAAACCAGTATTATCACAAGATTCTGGACGGTCCAGCAGCATTACAAGTATGGTCGTCAGAGAAAGAGTTTTGAAATCATAAGTTGTGCATGGATGCAAACTTTAATCAAATACTTTCTAATCAAAAGGACAGAGAGGGAGAGAGACAGAGCCTAAACCTATTTATACCTAAGTCTGAATTGCAATCTTTTTTTCCTGACGAAATCCAAAACGTGAGCACTTTCAGACAAATTACCTATGTTGAATACAAAAAGATGAGTTTTAAAGATTTTAAACGTAATTAAAATGTGTGAGGACTATTACATTCGCCGATGATTTTAAAGAAACTGTTACGGTTCTTAGATATGATCTTCCATAATGTTTTGAAATTATTTACAGCACGGGCAGAAAGCCAACAATTCATTGTTCGTTTTTTTCTGAAGGCATAAGCAAGTTATGCGTCAGCCATGATTCTTCCAGGATAAGGCTTACTTGCGGACTCCAGGTCTTCGTTGTTTCTTTCGTTGAGCTCCTTGGTGGTCTGTCCAATGGTTGTATCATTCATTACTAACGAGTCATAGAGGCACTGCCTGCTGTCTCCACAGACCTCTTCTAACTTTTGGCGTTGCTCGTCGTCGATGCTGTCGAGTAGATCCTCCAAGAACTTGGGTCGGAAAGACAGGTCGTTTATTTTGTCCCAGCTCTCCTCGGGGGGGATGTAATAAAAGTGCGAGTCCTCTTTAGAAACACGCCCTGCATGGTGGTGGAAAAGAACCCCCCCCAAAAAAAACTTCTTCAACGTTTGACCAGTGATTAGCATATGGCTTGAAAACAAATGAACTGTTAACAGTAACTCTGTTAATGAGGGATTGGAGTTTCTTCAACTGTCTATTTTTCCTTTTCGTGAACTGAGCGTTTTGCTTTTTTTGGGGAGGGGGGGTTGGTGTAGGAAAGAACTCGCCATTTCTGACAGCCAGTCCAACTGGACCCACGAGTTTGTGGTAGTATGATCCCCGTTCCTATACAAGGACAACTCACAACTAACGGCTATCCAAACAATTACTTACAGGTTTCTCCAAAATCAAAGTAATCCTTTTCGAGCATCTTCCCATCAGTACCGCTTGGTTCCTGGAATGTACCGTTGCGTCTCAGAATATCGTTGGTTCTGTTTCCATCCCAAACGCCTGTAGAAAATTGAAGGCAGTAAGCAAAGCACACTGAAACGGTACCAGCCTACAGCTGCCGCTTTCTTTTCAAAACCTTCAAATGACAAGATTCTGCAACGTTCCAATTCGAGTGTCCGGAGGCCTTTTTTTTCTTTTCTTTTCGGGTTTCTGAGAAGATGGTTTTCAATTGAACAGCATGAGAAAGACGTTGAGAGACCAACTTTCATTGCCAAGAAAATACAACAATTAATTTATGCTCTTACAGTTTCGAAGAATAAATATGTGCCCTAACGGTGGCTTCAATGCCTACACAAATTGCTTCAGGCAAACTCAATCGAGATTTAGTTGTTGGCTATGCATTAACGTGGTACACGTACTTCTTTCACCTACTGACATGGTAAAGAGCGTATGTAGGGCCCGACCTCTAACAGGCAATTCCACACTGAGTTTTGTGATTTCATTTCAATAACCTACCTAGTAAACCCTTGGTACTGCCGTTATACTTTTGACTCAGTTGGACGGTGATATCTACAAAACTGTTGTTCACCCCGACCGCAAATTGAACATCGATAGAGAATATTGCAACCACTTTAGGCGGATCCTGTTCCCTCCTCACAGTTAAGCCATCAAACACCAGTCCTAAAAACAATATTCCGTTTGAATATTTACCTTTTCTTATATAAAACTTTCAAATGTGAAATTTTTACATTGTGATGGAATTTTCATTAGAACTGAGAGGTTCAGTAAAGAAAAAAAGAACAAGCTCACAGAGTACAATTACATATCAACATTGAAGTCAAATTTCCAAAAAAGGAGTTTATGCACCCTTCCGTGTCCAACCGCCCATAATCTTCTACGCATTAGTACTATGCGTTTCTTTTAAATAGGAACCGTACTTGAAGAACCACGATGCTTGCAAATAAGTTGATCATTAAAGCACCCTTTTGTAGAAGTGTCAAAGTACAGCGCGCCCTCAATTACAAAAGACTATTGCTTCAGAGAAAGTGTTAAATCTCACCATCAGTTGTTGGTTCAACCACCGATCCATTCACAGTTGTTATTAAATCAGTAGCTTCGTCGTTTAACTTTATTTCAACCTGTTCACAGGATAAAGGGAACAGACAAGCACCATGAAAGTAAGACTTTTTAAAGGTGCAGTCCATCATTTGAATTTATTCAAAAAGTAACACTTGGTTTACAGAGAGTTAGGGGACTCAAACTCTCTTGGAAATTACTCTTTTGGTAAGCTGTCATTGAGAAGAAAGCAATGAAAGAAGACGATTTACAAAAATTCGTAGGAACGCATTTGTAGGACTTGCTATTAGACAAAGCACATGTACGCGTGCGTTGTAATCATAATGTTTCGGCTCGGTGTGCAACATCGCATAACTGTACATTCGACTTTTTAAACTTGAAAAAATGTCCGGACGATGAATTCGGATGCTTAAACTCAATAAGGGTTGTTCTTAGGCACCCATATTTAGATTTTGAGATATTTTATTGTCTTAAAGGGACATAGTGCACAGATTACAAATACCTTTAAAGATATTGTTAAGATTTTATTTGTTCACGGAAGTCTGTAGCACAAGCTTTATTATACCCTAGGAAATTACTTAAACTCTGTTTACTTTTGCCGTATTTATCTTTGTAATAATAAATTTGTCTTCATAAATCTAATGCTAATTGTTGCAAAAGTTTGCATCGTTTAAATGTCAGCCCCTGTCAGCGAGTAACAAACCTTTGCACCACCAGCAAAGTCCAAGGCTGAAAAACCACTGTACGAGGTCGCCTCAGTCAGCTCCTCAGTTTTGGGGTCGTACACTCTCTGCGTTCGGCCTTGCAATTCAAAGATTTGCTTGCCTCTTTCCAGGTCTTCGATGAGGACCATTGTGTATTCACCCAGGCCATTGAAAGTATAGTCCAGACCGTCAAGAGTACGCACGTGTGGATCTCCCCAGAACCAACCTTTCATGTTGAGATAAAATCCAGGGTTTTTTTTGTAATGCGCAGCTATCGCTTGTGTCCAGAGACGTTTGAGATCGATTTAGAAATGCAAGGTAAAGAAACAGCATGCTACCGAACAAGACATGAAACATTCATTTGAAACATTGCAGCCATAAATTAGAATTAATATTGCTTTCAGGTTACCCAACATTCTGCCATTTCGAATTGGAACACTAACAACCTGCTATATCTTCGTAAATGTGTCTCCCACGGAAACAGAGTATTTAGTACAAAACTGTAGTAACTTTATTTTTATTATATCACTATCTAACAGAAAAAAATAACATAGATAGGAAATACAAAAAATGTTTTTCCACGAGCACAATTAAACAAAAGAGACGGACTAAAGGAATAGTTACCCCAAAAAGCTGGTAGATAGTGCGAACAAGTCATTAGAGGACGCCATTCAGTATAAAGGTGACAGAGAGTAGACTTTTCGCAACAGTGGTAGCGTGAAAGCACGTCTTCCTCTGTAGACAGTTGACAAAAAATACTTAGCCACCAGTACAACCAGTCCTGTATCACGATCATCATAATAGCATTTTACTGGGTCCTAATAAGACGTATACAGGTATTTGAAAATGTGGATGGACTGCACTAAATCTCCGGACGTGCCATATGTTCTGGGCAGGCTGACGACTTACCGTACCACTGTTGAAAAACATCAGGAGTGTAAAATATCCAACTGAACGGAAATCTCTCAAAGACTGTAGCAACTTGTGGATTCCTCACGTCGTAAAGAAGATCACCAGTTGATCTCTTGTAGCAACATTGTGGGCCGGGGGTTCCAGGGGCTTGGTAAAATCGCACATAGCACACAACAGCTGAAGCCAAAGGGGAAAAGGGGCAAGAAACTTATTATAGCTTATTTTAAAGACGGATTGAATCGACTGTTCTCAAACCACTAAGAAGAAAGGTGCACAGAACTTGCATTAATTAGGGATTCATGCCTGGGAAAGCAGTCTTTTTTAATAGAATAATTTGGTGCTTTTAAATAACATAATAAAGAATACTTTCTTGGGAATTAAAATGAAAATAAATTAAAAGTTTCGCAATTCAAGTTTGGCACGATGAGAATCTGATATTTTCTCGTACAACTACACTTGATCGAAATTTTTTTGATAATTATTGCTACTTGAAAAGGAGAAAGAGTTTTAAACCGACAGCTGTCTTGAAAGTAGTCCCAGACGTCTCCACGAGGAATGTAATAGCGATGCCACCAAGTGCTCCTGAATCTCCAATCGAACCAAGCCATTCTCAGACTGCAGGGGCACGTGTCAGCAAACGGCGGGTAGTACACATCGAAGATTGGGTAGGGCGCCTGGCGACTGTACCAGTTGTGGCAGGATAATCGAGGGTTGACAAACTCCTTAGAGTGGCTGTCCAGCTGGAACACCCAGCGGCCTCTCTGACCAGAATTCCCAACGATGCCGCCCGGACGGAAAAGCAAATGTTCGGGTACATCCACATGCACGCTCTGGTCAGACACTCCACACGTGTAGCCCAATATGACATTTTTATTGGGCAGGAAGGCAGTGTCCCAGTTCATCTTGCAAGGATCGTAATTAAACATCCCATAGCTGTGGATAGAGTCTGTCAGTAGCACGACCTGGAAGGTGTTGGTACCCTGCAAAATCGACGAAATCGCGCCTTAATTCACTTATTGAAGCAAGACGCAAGAAAATTTCTCTGCAGTTAAGTTTTAATATTACAGCCCAGAATCAGTGTCATTCATTAATTAACGTGACTGTTCCTTTCAGTTTGTCGCGCCGGCGGTTTTGAAACTGCTCTAGTTCCATTGCTCCCAGATAGTAGATATTTGTTTTCATGAATACTCTTTGGCGGTGAAATTCAGTTTCCGTCACAAAATCAGGCTATATACCTTTATTATGATGCTGTCCCGTTTGTCTTATTCCTAGTTGATCCACCAGAAATAGTGGAAATATTGCTACAAGGGAACATAGTATTTCTTTCTAGCCTCAGTTTGGTTGTACTGTTTCGAATGGTAGAAAGTAAAGATGGCTGCCCCATGATAGATTTCTATTTGAAAAGCCTGCATACAAACTCACTGTTGCCTTTGCATCTGGCTGAACATTACTCCACGTGATAACCAGCGCCCAGTACGCGAGCCCTTCGTCGCTCCCAGCGTCCGGTAATACAATTGCCTTGATAGTATCCAGCATGTCCTGATCGGTGTTTGCATCGTACTGATCATACACCTTGCATTGCATATTGGGAGGATTAAAAAGACATTCTTTAGAAATCGACCATTGATGAAAGTACATATGAATAATGCTAATGGCACACGGTTTATGGAAGCCAACTTACTTAGACTTACTATCTTGCTGTACTTCGTACTGAACACGATTATAAAAGTTTAAAGCAACTGTAACAGAGGATTCGCTTTTCAGTGCAGTGTTTAAAAAAGTGTTCGTGTTGTAGGCCTGCAATGTTTATGGTAAAAAAGTTCCTTAGGAAAAATGTTTCAATAGAATTTCGAGGAAAGAGAAAAAATTACCTGCCAGAAGACATTTTTCTTTGCCGAAAATGCATCAGCGTTGACATCTGCCCAGAACGGGGCAATCATTTTAATTCCGTCTGGGAACTTCAAACTTTTCGCACCGGGATATGCCCATTTACTGACGGATTTGTCATTTGACAGAACAATTGCACCATTATCGGTGAACTGCAAAGCAAAAGAAAATATCAGTTAATTTAAAGGACAAGATACTGATCTGGCACTTACAAAATTTAGTCGAAAACACGCCTTTAGTACTTTGAACCACAATTTGGGAGTCGGCGTCCGCGAAAGCGCATTTGTATCGTAAAATGTAATTTGCCAGCACATTTAAAAACTAAGGCAATTTTCCAATAATATTGCAATAATCCTCTTTTGTGACACAAATGGCAATCTTATTTTCAACATGTATTCTGGTGGAATTCTGAAGTGACAACAGTAATCAATCATGCTTACATAGATTTTCTCGTACAGCTCCTTGCAGTAGGGAAAGAAATTTGGCGGGAAAATGGTTGGTGATATCAAATCCTTCTTGGACTGCTGATTCTAAAGAAAGAGAGAAAAATGTTAATCACAAGTTTACTAATAACAGAAGGTTAGTATGGTCATGGAGCTATAGCTCTATGGTATGGTAAACTGTTGTCACTATTAACGGAATAAATATGGGCTTGGACGGCGTGGGGTGTTCATTTCTGACCGAATAAGGAAAACAAACTCTTACAATGGCCCAACCTGAGACAAAAGTGAAGGAAATAATCAGTGTCCGTTCGTCTCAGGTGGTCTTAAGACCTGACCAAGCGGGTATCCCCACCGTTAAAGACTTTGAAGCAGACCGTCCTACCCATGAAGCAAACAAATTATTTATTTCAAACATTATTTTTGTTGACAAATTTTAAGTCTTTCTTTTTCAAACACCTGTCTTGTTGGTGTGATTTGTCGTAAACAATATTTTCATACCGTGTACCGCTACAGATGGCTCAGAACCCGACGAGCCTGTTTATTGTGGATATAAGACCTTAAGATTGCGGACTCCAGGGAGTTACCGCTCAAACTTTGTGAACGTTCAACCAATACGAGGGAAAAGGACCTGAATAAGAGTCTAAATTTTAAGTGGCATCTAAAAAAAAATACAGATCAGCTTAAGAATGTGATTTATCAAGTATTTAAGAGCTCCAACTTCACGGGTTCCCGACGAATAGGAATGGCCAAAATGTGCAATGCATTTGCGAAGATTCATGAAACAGTGCTTTTAATTGTTTACAATTCTTCAGATTGCTTTGGGAATGTACAAAAAGTGTTGTACAAGAGGGATATATATGATACTTTAAGTCCGTATAGCAAACTAATCCCTACAGTCCTTACTGTTGTCCTATACTTTCTCAGATTTCCAGTATTGTATTGTGACTAAATAAAATAGTCTATAAGTGATTTAAAAACAAATACTGCATACCTCTTGCTTTGCGTTAGATAGTAGGGAATCGCCAACCTCGACCCCAAATGGAAGGAGATTGCCAGCTGCGAACAAACCAAAATTGTTTCTACATTTATATGAAGTGTACTTGGCAGAAGAGTACCAGCTTACATGTACACTTCCTAATATACAGGATCAGTTTCAAGCAACAGGAGGAACTAATTAACCCAACAGAAGGAGGTATTATTCTCTTCGTGCATTGTCTCCATTTCTTTCAGGAAACGGGACCATATACTCACACGCTTTATTAAAATCATACACGGGTGATTACTGCATGATACCCAGAGAAGTATTTCATCAAATACATGGGTACTGCACGAGACATAAGCCTACTAAGTCTTACCTACTACATTGAATCCGAATGCCTTCGATCTAGCACAGCCACCTGAGTTAGTTGCTGTACAAGTTACTACGTGAGAACCTACTCCGAAGACACCTCCTGATGGCCCGATGTTCGTGCCATCTCCTGTACAGGTAATGATTAGGTCATCGCCGGGCGTGGTCGGCTGAACGTTCCAAGCCACGGTGGAAGTTGTCTCTCCACTGTCGGTGCACTGTTCGCCTAAGTGTGGAACTCCCAAGGACGGAAATGCTGAATGGGAGGACAGACATGCAAGAAAATTGTGACTGAATTCTTAAACGACGGCCAATGAACCTTTAGCGATGCCCTGCCACGGGAAAATGAAATGGGTTTAAAAGTGAATGGGGAAATGTGCGAAAAGCCACGTAATAGCTTCAGATCATATATAGCAGGTTCAAGAAAACGCAACTACATAATAATGTCAAAAAATCGATGGGATGCCTTTGTCGCCGTAAGGTATTGCTCGAGACTAGATGGTGGCATACAGGAGATTTATGTGTGATAATTAATCCCTTTCTTAAGTCCACTAAAGTTTCAAAAGGTGAATTTATTGATAAGGAACATACCTAGATCCATTTCACTTTTAAATCGTGGTTTTGTTTTCTTACCCGAGACACTGAAGGAAATCAAGCATTGTGGGACGACACCGTTTTCAGTATCAGACGAACAGACAACTTCGTGCTTCCCTAACCCGAAATCGCCTCCCGTCAGGTCAACACTAGCCCCATCGATATCCTTGCAAGTGATGTCGGCAGGAGAGATTGGGTCGCCGGATGGCTTAACAGCCTTGACTTGAGTCCACGTGACTTTCACAGATGTCACGCCACGATACAGACACCGGTTTGCTACTTCCGGACAGTTCGTCCCGGCACTTACTGTTGTAAGGTAAGCCAATGAGGTCACACTCTTTCAACTGTTTTTTTTCTATGCGAATCCAGATCGCAAGCAGTGATCGGACGCTGGTTTTTCTGACACAAGAACCCACTACTAACCAAAACAGATAGTACGATCACTGATCGCGATCCAAATCTGCGTGAAACAAACAGGCCTTAATCGCATGCCTCTGCTCGAGCAAATCAAGGCAGGCCTATGAAAAGATTAGTTTAGATGTTATTACAGTTAGTTTAAATGTTACAGTTATTGGTTGACTGATATGCATTTGTTTGTGATGCAGCTTAAACTTCACTATCTCTGCAATCTTTCCAGAGCAAAAGGTTCTAGGAAAGAAGAGGCTGCTACGATAAAAAAACCTTCAAGCTGGTGATTCAAGGCAGGATTTCTTTCACCTTTTGATGGACAACCTCTTCATAACACACGTAGGGCTGTTCACAGTCAGTTTACACTCAGGATTGCCTTCCATTTTTTTATGGGAGACTTAATTGGTGTTTCGAAATACGACAAGGTGAGTTCGAAAAATATACTTGTGAAAAGAGGCACTACACTAGATCGTGGTGGCAACTGTTCACAAATATAGCTTTTCACCGGACACAGATATTCAAAGCAAGTAGGTCAACCGCCTATTTCAGTGAAATGTGTATGTGTTTATATTGCCCACCTTCCTTACACTGTGGCCCAGTGTAACCTGGAGAGCATTCATCAATGCCTTTGCAGTTCTGAAAAGGTTCACCAGGCCTGGTGCACTGAGTTCCAACATCGCCCTCTATTACAGTGAAAAGAGAAAATGGGAGTTCCAGTCTGCATAATTCATACTGTGCAGATAATACCACGACCTGGTAGGCCTTATTTACTGATACCATATTGGAGCCTAGAGTGAAGAGTGTATGTATGGTCCCTTGACGCCCAGATCAAACCAGGCACACTCCATTCTCATTGTTTTATTTCATTGTTGAAGGCGTGTTTGTCTATTTATGTTTATCAGTCTTAATGGGCACCATAAAACTGAACATCCGGTTCGTTGATAAAAATGTTGAAAATAAATTAACAGAACAAACCCGACATGTTCCTTTGTAAACTCGGGGATACGTGTTATCTGTTATCAGCTTTAAAACCTGCTTCGGTTGGCATGGACTGGGTGTTGTTCCCTTACCTATGTTTTAAGAGAATTAGTTCAGTACTCAAACAACTACCCGCTCCTTGTACCTCGTTGTCATAGTGTCCATTAAAAAATAGATTAATTAACCACTTCTTAATCATTTCGTGCCTTTTTGCGAAGATTTCAAGTGTTGGTGTTCCACGACAATTTTTCTGGTTTTTGGCAGCAAAAAAGATAAATCAATTTGGCGGTATCCCAATGCATTCTTGGGCTTAAACTGTATATTACCTAAGACGACACAGTGCTTAAAAAGAAAAAAACAACATTATTTAAAACGCCGACGTGGACACGGTGAGCGGGACCTTACGAGAGCAGTCATGTCCGCAGTATCCGGAGGAGCATGTGCAGTATCCTTGCTGATTTGAGGAACAAATGCAATTGGGTGGGCTGCCTGTGGCTGAACACTTTTCTCCGTCTGTGCAGAACAAAAGTCAACAAATTACAAAAAAATGAACTTGATGGTGTGATTAGATATGGAGCAATTTGAGGTGGTCTTTATCAGCTAAAGCCCAATTTACTGAGGTCTTGAAAACGTCACTCACCGTTCACGGAGGAAACGGAGACGAGTACATCACACGTTGCATTGTTCGATGACTCGTCTGTCGCTGTGTAGCGCACCTGATGTGGGGACGACGCTAGATCGAAAGTGACGTTGTCGCCTACCTGATACGAAGAGTCTTTGATGTCAACACTGACGCTATATGTTCCAGAGTTATCATATGCGGACTTGACATCGGGAAGCGAGACGGTTGAGTAGCTCTTGTGGCAGTTTGTGTAAACCGTCACGTCATTTGGGCACGATATGTTTGGTGATGCAACATCTTCAAAGAGACAGATAGTATAAATTGTCCCAGCTATTTAAAAGCATTTTTCAATCCCGATTCGCTGGTTTGAATGATCAGATTCGTCCAAGACAGATTCACATGCTTCTGTTAACAACTGATTTAGTCATTTATGTCATCACTATACGCAAAAAATTATTTTCAGGCCACCATTTCCAGTGATGATCCCAGGTTCACAACTATTTTAAAATAACAAACCACCAAATTGAGGACAAGGAAACTTGAAGTACATCGACACACTTATGTTTACACAAATAGTATTCGCACAATTTACAAGAGGGAAAACAAACACCAGAGATCTCGATTCAGTTAACAATTTCTTATGTTCAGAGTCAGACCTTTCCTGTCTGGTCACCACTTCAAATACACGAGAAAATTCGATTTCACAAAGGAAATTCGTCTAAGCTGTTACACGGTGCTAACATTCAGAGATCTGATTTGTCTTCCTACAAATACTTTGAATTTGCGAGGTAAATTAGTCTTGCATGTGCTGAAGCATTTCTCTGTGTCTTCAAAAATAATTGGCCACGTCAAATGGGAACATATAAATAAAGTCCACGAAACACAGAATTTCTTCAGTTTTAAATCAATTGAAAAGAATTTTAAAACTTAAATAACGAGATATCAAAAAACTTCAATGACCTTTATTCTACTGCTCTTATTTTGTGTGCTCTGTGAAACATTATTGCCATTTTAACAGAAAATTAATTCAAGGAAACAAGCAAAACGTTGATGCGTGAATTACAAGAGAGAGAAGAAATACAGTGCAAAATTAAATATGACCCTTATGCCATTTTTGATGTCATTGTAAAGCTAAACAAACTTGAACAAACTTGTCGTTCAATTGTGTGGAAAACGATAAAATTAAATGTTACATATGTGCAAGGATCGATTTTTCTGAAACAAAATTTGAAAAAATAAAAACTTGTGAATGTGAATAATACTTTTAATATAAAATGTTGTAATACATAGAGTACATTACATTAGATTTCATGTCTTTATTCGTCAAAAAAATCTGAACAACCTTTTCCTTGTAAATTTCCTGGAACAGTTATAGAAAACGTAGATGCACATTAACCTATTTATATAGTGAGGTATGGTATTTTCTTGCAAATTACAGGACACAATCAATGGTTTCATCTTAAATAAATAAATTTCTTACCAGCGCACGATTTTCCATCTCCTTCGTATCCCTCCTTACAGGTGCAGTTAAAGCCCTTAATGGTGTCAATGCAAAATGCATTCTCATCACAGTCATGTAGTGGTTCCCGGGGGTCGCATTCGTCAACATCTACAAAAAGCATCACAACAGTGAATTTATTGCTCCAAAAAAGTTGGGGTTAACAACGAAACTCTTTTTAGAAGCATCCTTGCAAGTTATAGTTCGAAATGCTCTAAGCGCTGGAATGGAGCTCAAAACGATAAAAAAGAGAAACCATTTCGACAACACGAATCAAGAAGTTTTCCAATTTGAGTTGACAGCCCATTGTGAAGAGTCCCTTGAAGTTTCGTTTAAAATGTTAAATATATATTCCTTTCTTTCATATTTTCCACAAAGTAAGCCGAGCCGGAAACTTTACGTTATTACTTGCTTTCACCTGGTGATTCGGTTGGATAATCTGGAATTGTGCAGTATTCATAGTAGTCTGCACAGCAATCTCCGTAGACCTCGCACGCCCCGTCACACCAGCATCCTCCACGGGGCCCGTCTTTGAAACAGAAATTGCGGCAGCCAACTGAACAGAACAAGGTTATAAATAAATTTCTCAATTTCATGTTTTTTAATTTTGTCTAGAAATATTTATGCTACGAATTAAGCTTAAAGAGGAGGGAAACAAGGAAGTTTTATTTCACTATCTCTAAATTCCTTGAAAAAGGACTTTGAAAATATAGGCTAAACTTACCACAACCCTCTTCATCACTTCTATCATCACAGTCCGGGAAACCATCACACTGCCATAAACCGCTAATGCACACCGATTCTCCGCAATCGAAATCTCCAGGACGGCACGTGCTTTCAGCTTCGAAAAGGAAATTCGAACCAGCATGTTGCACTACTTTGTGGAAAAAAAAAACTAACTACAGCCAAACAACGCGCTGCTGCAAGTTCCAATGTGAAGTTTACTCATTTCGTTGTCCCACTTAGCTTTCATATGCAGTGTGCCAAGTGAAATATATGCTAGAAAACTCTATAGAAGAGAAGAAAGCTTTTGAACAAAATACTGCGTTCTTTTCAAAATAACACAGCAAAACACTTTCATCAAATCTTTGATCGGTGTCAGTTGACCAGTGTAGAATTTAATTGTTGCTACTTGTTCTCCACTGTCTTGAGAAGGTGATTTCCTCAATTTATTTTAAAAAAAAGAAAGTCCCTCCCGACTTGTGAAAAAAAAAATTCATTCGGTCACTACTGGTACCTTCTGTCGGGTTTGCTCCGTTAGAACTTGTAGATGACATCGTACTGGGCGCGAAGCCACTTTGTTCAGTGGATTTTGAATCTGTTGGCAAATAAATCATTTAGATAAATTGATAATTCCCGCAAGGTCCTTTTTAAAACCTGACGTAGAGCGGAGTTGCTCCCATGGGGATCCATTTTTTTTCTAATTACGTAATTAAAACGAAATTTCGGCAAAATGCAAAAACCTCCTGTTAATTTGTCTCTCTGTAGATGCTGAACAGCCTAGTTTAGTCACCTTTGACATGGGGACTTCCCTTGAGCTGAGTAATTCTTTTCCCAGAGCCTGCCTCCAGCCAAGTCCCATGGGGATTGTATGTAAATATCTAAGCCACGTGCTGATAATGGTTATTGACAAACCAAGTGCCTGGGCAAGCCTGGGCCTGTCTCATATCAATGGTCGGTCTCTCCGGTTTGTCTTTGAGCTGTCTAGACAGCTGCCTGAGTAGTTTCACTGCGTTGGGGGGGTGTCAAATTTTTGTTGATTGTGGTGGGACACCCCCCCTCTTTGGCTGGAAAAACGGTACCGTGACCGCACTCTGACCTTTTTTTGTGCGGGTTTTTTTTATTTGTTGGCACACCCTCTGATCAATTTAAATGCCAGTAGAAGGGAATGTGGATTTGGGAAGAGGGTTATAACGACGGGATCTCAATTGTATCATGTCCCAGTATTCACCCTAAAAAAATAGGCCCTGTGCAGCGGAGGGTCAATTGTAAAATAGTTTAGACTAATCCGCCTACTCATTAGACATAACTGCAGTGACACTGCACTCACATGCACATTCCTCAGCTTGACATGTGCGTACATTTGGCAAATCATAAAGCCGTATTGGTTTAAGAGGCACACCACCTGTGCACAATGCCACCGCAGAAATCGCTTCTATTCTGATTGTCAAATTACACAATAAATTCAATCCTGTGTAGATGGATTTGAGAGTCTATACGATACACGATATGATCTTCTTTTTCAGAGTTAAATGCCCAGACGTGCAGGCTCTGATAAACCGAGGATCATTCCTTCACCGAAACTTGAAAGCCATGCATATTTATCGTCCAATATAAATAACGCACAGCCTATTAAACCAAGGATATGAAACTCAACTTCAATTACCTTCTGTCTGGTTTTCCCCATAAGAACTCGTGGGTGAGACTGTAGGCATGGGGCCATTTTCAGTGGATTTAACACCTGTCGACAAATGTATTACGATAAACTTTTCTTGCAAAGCTCAAAAACACTCCGTGAGTTTTGTACAATATAACATTACTGGTTTGAATCCCATGTAAACACCCTACGACATTACTTCAAAGTTTTGCTGAGTTTGGATAAACTCGACCATGTTTGGGAGCAAATTGCCCTGATCTAGGGCAGTTAAAATTTACTGAGGAAAAACCTGTAGTGAAATACGAAGTACCAGACTAGTGCATATATCGTTCTATTGTAGTAATGAGTAGAACAAAATAATTAAATTCAACGTTTACCTTCTGTTGCGTTTACACCAATGGGACTTATTGGCGAACCTGCAGTAGGTGCACTGGATTTTAAATCTTGCTACAAATTAATTATTGCAATCAGTATTCTTGCTAAGCTCATGTTATGCACAATAACATAACACTGGGTGTACAATGTTGTAAAATGGTTGGTTCATATCCCTTGCTAATATTTGCCGACACAATTAATCTACCTTTAAGGACAAACTACACATGGTCCAATAGGCAGCTGAATATTCCCCACTCAAAATGTAGTGTACCTTTCATTTTATCACACTAAACACTAAACTATACCAACCAAGATTATTACGCTAAACGTTAAGCTGCTGTTTTGTTTGCTCCAGAAGAGCCTGTAAGTAAAACTGTGGTCTGCAAAGAGTCAACCCCTTCAGGAGATGTTAAATCTGTCGACAAAAGAATTCTTAACATTGTATTTCTGGCAAGGCTCAATGACACTTTAATCGGAAAAGAATATTGTTGATTCCGACCATATGCCCGATCATTTCCTTCGACATTTCCTCAGGCTTTTGAACTTTCCGTTCATTTTCGACCACTTTTCAGGATAAACTGCTTACACGAGTTGGCTGTTGCTCTACTGAATTTTGCTTCCTTTTTACATTACCTGGAATGTTAGTGAAAATCTCTGTCACAGCTGTGGCTATCATGGGTTTGGTGGATGAACTATCTGTGAACCCTTTAGTAGTTTCTGCAATAGTAAAAAGAAATAATAAATGTATGACTTTGTTACAGTTTGATTACGGTCTTTCTTTTTTAAGTCTTCAAACTTTACTAACACTGCAAAAAAAAAAGAATTCTTTGTATTAAGGGATATAGGTTTATACTCTATACATTATTTATTCTTTGGTCTTTATATTGCGTAAGCTGTTCATCCAAAAAGCGGTAAATGGGCCGGAGTTGAATTGATTGTTGGTATGCC